TTCTTCTCTCTCTCTCTCTCTCTCTCTCTCTCTGCAGCGGAATGCGTTCATCAGAAAATCGGATTTCAGTAACGCTATGTGATGCGAGTGTCAACAAGTACTAAATCCAGATTGAAGTACGCAAAGTAGATAACGCAAAAAGCTTTCGGTAGTTTTATGGCACCTTCGCCGCGGTTCGCAATCGAGAAAGCCAGGTGCGTCGATGCGCGCCGGCATGACTTCGTTTCACGTCAATAACGGGTAACCGAGAATATTTTCGGAATTCCCGACGATTTCCATGGTCAGAATATTTCGAACGTGCCAACGGAGGGAGAAAGGGAAGGAGGGAAAGTACCGATAACCGTATCATCGCGCGGGTTCTTCTTTTATTCACGATGAAACGATTTTTATCAGACGCGCGCGACAGTGGAGGAAACCACGGCAGGTCCGTTTATTTCGTGCGCGTCACAATACGAGAATCTGTGCGTGGGTGTGCGCGAGTGCAAACGCGGTCCGAAAAAAAGCCCCGATTAATCCGATGCAAGAAGTAAGCGGTGCGTGGAGAACCCGCGCGAGCGGAGCGTGCTCCGGCGTGTTTGTTCAGCTTGGATTTTTATCCGGCCAATAGCAGTGCCTTCACCGAATAACGCGCGGCCATCGTTTGTGCGCGCCGTTCCGTCAGCACGTGAAATTCAACCGCGCCCGCAATTGCGAATTTCACCAGGGCCAACACATACACACCTTGCTTACATACGCGTCCCGAATATTACGTTTTTTTATATCACGCAGGTACAACCACGGGCTATTTTTTTACCTTGGGAGTCGTACCGTAGGGCGCCTCGATATTCGCGAGAACGCGTACAGCGCCGGCGGGATTCCGCGGTCAAATTGCTGGTCTTTTTGCCTAACAAAAGCTACATTACTCGCTCGGAGACATTAATCGCTCGGAAATTTTAAACGTGACGAAGAATAAAATGGATGATGGGCTCCCTCACACACACATTGTTCTCATACACGTTGCAACGTGCTGACTGTAACTGACTGAATTATCATCGAAAGTTTAAACGAGATTATTAAATTAGGAAATATTAAATTAGGAAATGTTTCTCTTTATTCATTCAATTATTATTCAATTAGCCGACTCGATTTTGGATTTCTCCGTTTGGAAAAGAGAACCAAGTGGAAGACCTGCGGACAGTTTAGATAGGAACCGCGATACAAATAAACTACTACCCGCAGCTATCCCGGAACTCTGACCCCTTCTCTCTCTCTCTGATCCTTTTATCTTTTAATTACGCGGATTTCGCCACCCGCTTAAATTCTCCGCTTGCTTTTCCGACTTAAAGCCAAGTTTCTCAACGTTCCCGCCGCTCAATATGGACAGCAATAATCACTCGCTGTTTGATAAAGTTTTCCCGACGAATCTTTTACATACATGACAATATTATTCTATTATTTCTTAAAAAATTGTTAGAGAAAAGATTTCGTAAGAGCGGAATGAAATCTAGTACGAAGTACGCAGAATAATCCATTCCAAAGAAGAAAAATCTGAAATCGTAGATCCAAATAAATTTTAAGAGAAACGCTAAACCGACACTCACGGTTGAGCCAACGCATTACTCCGACGAAGGAAATAGCATCTTGAGGGGAGTATTCCGAGAGACGAGGATAAATAAGAGGAACGTGCAAATCTCTGGAGAGCCGAAACGTTCTGTACGCCTTCGCGATCGATATATCCGAAAGGCTTTCGGGCCGTGGGAAACACAGTGATTCCCGGTCCTCGAGAGAAGCGTGCAGCAGCTCGCCTCGGATATCGTGATCGTTACGGCGCATCTGAATGCGGATTCTCTCGAAGAGAGAGAGAGAGAGAGAGAGAGAGAGAGAGAGAGAGAGAGAGAGAGAGAGAGAGAGAGAGAGAGAGAGAGAGAGAGAGAGAGAGAGAGAGAGAGAGAGAGAGAGAGAGAGAGAGAGAGAG